TAAGCCGTCCTAGCAAATTAAACCCAAGGAGGACATTGTGGGAATCCTGATTTACAGCCAGTGGGTTGAAAGCCCAGACACAGTCTGAGGCCTGCCATTGGCATCTGAAGTGGGGGCACAGCCTCGTGGTGCAGCATGCCCTCAGCCTATGGGATCTGACACTCCATACAGGCAGACAGGGTCAGGATCAAATTGAATTAAACAACATTCATTTGGTATCTGCTGGAGAACTGCTTGTTGTATGATTGTGGGAGGGAGACTTGGTGTCAGAAGTTTTATATGTTGTGAATGAGGGTAGTTTGGTTTCTCTTATCTCTTACAATGTTAAAAGAGTTTCAATTTGGACAAAGCAAAAGTAGCAACATTTTTTAACATTCTGATATTATAATGATAATATAAGATTGGTAAGTAATATAGGACTAAATGAATAGTGCACAAAAAATTTAAGAACACGGTGCTAATGTATTAAGGTAGCCTCTGTTATTTTATATTCTACCACTGTTTTGTGTTTCAGGTACAGAGCCTTCATTTTCGTTTTGACATTTCTTCTGTATGCAAGTTTTCACTTATCTCGGAAACCTATCAGCATAGTTAAGGTAAGAAGTCTTGAAAAACACTCAATTTTATGTCCTTCTTATAGGAATGATTTGCTTTAAGAACCTTTGGGGAAGAAGGTAGGGACAGTGGCAAGAAAAGTGGAGAAAACAGATTATTTAGAAACAAGTTATTTTGTAGCTTTGTTTTTTTAGTTTCTCTTTTTTGAAATTACAGCTTTTTTAATGTTTTTAAGATAATGTCAGAGTAGTATACTTTTCCCCAGTTCCAGAATTCTGATGCTTCCTTAAATATTTTATCTTGTGTGAATCTTTCTTCCAGCTGTATCCAATCTTAAATCATTCCCGGGCCACTTGAGCTCTTTGTGGCTTTGACCCTAAGCCCGGCTGTGGATGAGGAGATGGTTCTCCATTATTCTTAGAAGGCTGAGTTTCTGTCTGAGTGGTGGGTGGGCCAGGAAGTAGGTAAACAGGTGTTTTAACTAGACATTGAGAAAAGAAGATTAAAGTAGACAGTCCCACATAATAGCCAATTATAACTTGGGAAAAAAGTTTCCCCAAGTTATATAATTTTCTTACCCTTTTTGGAATTGCATCATCTCTCTTGTAAACTGTTAGCAGGCTTGAATGGCATTTGGCTCTTTATCCTAGAATGAACAAGGAAATTGTCCATTGCCAAAGATAACTCATTTACAGCTTGGTTGGCCCTCACTGGCTTTCCAGTAGTTGGCAGGGACACAGATACAGGGCTGCCGCACTTGACCTCTGTAGCCAGGCTTCCTCCTCTCCCAGTGGTGGCTGAGCACTGGACAGCTGTCATGGGGAAGAAGCACAGATGCTGTTGCCTCTGTGAATGGTTCCAGGGTCCCTATCCTCCAGAAACTTCCAGTGGGTGTTAAACATTCATTTACTTGGTATAATCTAAAATTCCTCCTTGACCCCTGGTATGAGCAGGAAGTTTTCATGCACTTCAAGTTGCTTACTCTGAAAATGTTTGCAGACCTTTAAAAATGTAGTTTGTGAAAAAGAGATGAGAATAGGACAACAGGTGGCAGGCCTAAATAAGCACTCAGTCACTCAACAAGGCTCTAACTCAGGACCAATGACCAGCCACTGTAAATCTGATTATTACTGTCCCTGTCTTCCTGATTAGAGGAATACACAAATGGCTCAAGAAAATGGCAGATTACTCAAATGGAAGAGACTTGGTGAGCACCTTAGGATTGAAAGACCTAATGTGCTCAGGAGAGCCTACCCAGGGGTTCAAGACTGATCTGGAACAATTGGGTCCAGTTGGGGGTCTCCCTCAAGAACTAGATGGAGGGACAGGCATCATCATGAAGCTGCCACCTGATGGACTAAGAGGCTGTTGGAACATGTGAGGTGTAAGGTGGGCTGGCCCTGGAGCGTCCCTGCGGCAGGACCCAGCCCCTGGAGTCCATCTTACGACCACAAGGGTCCCCATTAGCCAGGGAAGGATGTGACCATTTTTCCAGGCCACCCTCCCAGCTTCCTTGGTTGCCCTCACCCCCGACTCCTGTGCGTGAAAGTGTCCACGCCACTAGGGGGGTAGGTCTCACTGAAGAGGAGGCCTCACAGTCAGCTCTTAGGTCAGTGTCCTTAGTAACTGCCATTCCCTGAGCCCTGTGCGGTGACAAAGTGCTTGCATTCGTGATTTGACACAATCCTGACAGCATCCCCCGCAGGGCTGATACTCGGTACATCGGTACATCAGCTCTTTACCTCTCCACCTTCCGGTCTCTCAGGCATTTACTTACTCGAGTACAGTCACAGCACCCACACCCAGGAATTCCTTAACACATGGGTTTTCTGATTTAGTTCCCTAGATGTGCCCAGGTATGATTGGCCTTATGCTAAATCTTGCAGGTTTCTTTGCCTTTTAAGGCAGATTAGAACATCACACGACATATGATAAACTTTATAACACCTGACAAAGCTCTCACATGCTTTAGCTCATGTTCTAAGTAATGCAAATGAGACTGGGATTGCATTCTAATGCAAGTAGAATCATTTTATGTTTCTGTTGACCTAAGGAATAGTTTGATAATTATCTATAGCCTGTATTTCCTAGGATGTTATAATTAAAGCAAAAGCAAATATATTTGCTGTTTTGAAATCAATCACCAGGACTGTAAATTACAAAATGATTCCCGTTCTATAACGTTGTTCATAGAGCACCAAGCAGAAGCAGGGCAGATGCCTGTCAGTCTGGAGCTGTTCCAGTGTACCTTTAATCAATACTGGCTAATTTTATATTACTCTCATTAACAAAATGTGTATTTTAAAAAGATTATGGTAAAGCCAGGGCTGGGAGGATGTTTGTGTTTTAAGCACAACCCTTTTCCATTCTACCTGCTGCCCAAACTACAGCCTGAGGCAAGCATCCGCCCAGGAGGTCTGTGTCCTCCTAGGGGAGACCTTTGGGGGACTTTGACTGCTCTGAGCCAGAGAAGAAACCTGAAAGCAGTGGCTTCTCAGACAGAGCTTAATCTGCCCGGGATCTGTGGAACCAGGGGGGATAGCAACATTGACTGACCTGAGTGTGAGTGTCCTGACCCTCTGTGGACACAGTCCTGAGGAAGACAGCATACAGAGTCTGAAAATCTGGAACTATATACCATGAGCGGGAAACATTTTTGTAATGTCCTAGTGCTCCCAGTCTTAATATTTAAATAGAATGCAACTTCAATGAAGATCTCAGCAGTTTTTTTTTTTAATTAAATGAAATGATCTTAAAGTTTACATGAAAGACTATCCTGAAATTATCAAGGGAAGTGTAAAAAAGGTACTATTTTGTGATATAAAATGAGACAAAAATATGAAAAGATTAATGTATTTTTAAATATCATAATCAAATTGTAATATTGCATGAGAATAGACAAAAAGATCAGAAGTTCAGTAGACTAGAATAGAAAACATAGAATATTTGACAGAGATAATTGGGAAAATATACCTTATTTAATAAATGGTGTTGGTACAACTGGTTATCTAGAAGAAATAAAAGGTTCAATGACTATATTATTAAAAAAATGGATGGATTAAAGATTTAAGTGTAGAAAAATAGAAACTAAAAACCCAAGAATTAATCATGTTCATCTAAGAAGTGTAAAGTTAGGAAATCCAGAGGGACAATGGACAAAGTGGACGGATCAGCTGTTCACAAACAAGATGTCCAGGTTTCCAAGAGATGTGTGAGCTGTGTTCACGTTGACTAGTCCCCATACCCCCAAAGGTGAATCAAGGTGGAGCATGTCCTTTGACTGGCAGCACTGGGGGAGAGGCTTTGCAGGCGTCGCTGATGGAGGTCACGTGTCAGTGACTTCTGGAAAGGACTCTAACACCTGGTGAGATAGAGCACAGACGCCTCCCACACTACTTCTGGGGATTTCCTCAGTGAGGTAGACGCACCATGCCTGGGATATCTACATGAGCACCTGGACTCAGACATTGTTTGTAGTGACCAAAAAAGGAAAAAGGAGAAAAATACTGGCTGCACATGAACCTAATCAGCAGGTGAAAGTTTGAACAAATCGTGACCCATCAGTGTTTCGGAATGTGCAGCCACCTAAGGGAATGACTTCAAGCCAAACCAGTTGACAGAGAAAGATCTCCAGGAGGTATTTTGTGTAAAAAGTTAAGATGTTCATAAGGATATGTGAAAGATTCCATTTTTGAAAACAGTGACCAGAAAGTTTCCCTGTGTCCTTCTGCTCACCTGTGTGAGTGGAGTCCGTGCTGGCACGTGCCCATATGTGTGTGGTCCACTTTTATGTGGCTCCTGTGATTATTCTGGCAAACTGGCCATATTCAGGTGCTGTCATAAATGGGCATAGCTTGTCTGGTCTTCCCACTTTTGGTACCAAATTTTAATTTCTCTCCTAGGACTTCTTCTGGATAATGGTTTGGAGAATCATTTAGCCTTGTAAGAGGAAGGTGCAGGGCTAGTTAGAGGAAGTGAACCCACACAAACCAATGCACTGAAAATTAACCTAGTTATCTAAAGGCCTATCAGCCCTTTCTGCTAGAGTAGCATGAGGTTCCATACTGCTATGGCTGCAGCCTTCCATGGGCACATGGGGGATGGCGGGGCTGAGTGAGACCCAGCTCAGCAGAGGCACCCAGGGAGCACAGTGGGTGAGCTCCTTACACTCACGGCTGCCAGTCCTTGAACCCTTTCAAGGCACTCTTTGTGTCAGTGGGTGCTTACAGCAATCCTGTGACTCGGGCATTATAGTGCCGACTTCATGACTGACGTCCAGGGAGTAGGAGTGATGGTGCGAAGGTCGCAAGCCACACAGCTGCACCAAGATCCCAGCGAGGGCCTGTCTGCAGCAATTGCCTGTGTCCCTAAACAGGGCGCCAGGTCCCACTCATCATGCAACAAAATGGGAAAACCTTTCTGCTTATTTTTGGGGAAAAAAAATTGTTTCTATAATGTTTTCCATGCATGATTCTTCCTCAGAAATATTAAACAATGAGAGAGGTTGTCAAAATCTGTGGAGAATTCCCTTTTTCCTTGCTCCTATGTGAAGCTACTGCTGAAAACCTCAGTTTAGCCTGGCCAACAGCTCCCTCTTGGCCAGGGGTCCTTTCCCATCCTGCCTGTAGCTTTCTTCAGTGAAGGATGGGTGGGGACACCAAAGCATCCTGGGTGTGACCAGGCTGGCTTCTGCAGGTGGCAGCAAGGGGGAGGGCAGAAATGACTGGGCTGCCGCAAGTGCCAAGAAGGAGAAAAGTATGGAATCAGGTGGCAGCTGGCTGGGGAAACCTGCAGATGCCAACTGTACAGAGAGGACAGGCTGCAGGCACCCTCCCCGGGCTCCCCAGTCTCATGGTCACCCCAGACAAGAACTCAGAATGTAGGTGGCAGGGGCTCTGAGAAGCCAGGGGCACATGACAGCACTCACTTCCCAAACTCCCAAGAGACCATCACAGAGCCTCCCGGGAGGACAACTTTGCTGAGGAGCCAGTGGGGATGGCGGGAAACAGATAATGACTTTGCGTTGTAAAGCAGAACCCTTGGCTGGGTTTTCAGAACGGTGTTTGTTAATTATAGCAGAACAGCCAATGACGACCATGAAGTTGTGTGACTGTAGAGCAGCTGTGTTCTGTGTGCCATGCCAGGACTCAAGGACATGTGCCCAAGTGCATCCAGCTGTGAGCCAGGTTGCCATTCTGGGCTCACCAGGGCCCTACCAAGGACAGCCTTTTGGAGGTGGCCAGCCTCTTGGCCACTTCCTCCTGAAGAAGGGACAGGACTTATGACCTTGGTCCTCCTGGTGAATGGGGTGACTCCTTGACCATTATGTTGTGCCCTGACCCTGGAACCAGCTTCCCACATGGCTGTCCAGGCTTCTGGCTGTCCTCAAAGTCCAGTCACTAAGGATGTCCTCAGGTCCCGTGGACAACAGACCTAAACTGAGGTTTCCAGCAGTAGCTTCACATAGCAGCAAGGAAAAGGGAATTCTGCATAGATTTTCACAACCTCTCTCATCGTTTAATATTTCCGAGAAAGAACCATCCATGGAAAGAAACCATTATAAAAATAACTGAGGGGTGCTCCTGAGCACAAGAACCCCTGCTTTGCACCCTGGCTCACACCTGAAGGGTCAGTTCATCTGTGTGTTAGAAAACCTTTGTTAAAGAGACCTCAGGGCAGGCGAGGAATGGGAGCAGGTGTTATGAGCAAGCCCCCTGTCCCTCAGTTCCCCTGCAGGAGGATGGGCCCCATCATCATGTGGAACTTTTCTGGAAGCCCTCCTCTTCTGAGGAAGAGCGCACTCTGCTCCCCTTGCTGCCACATCCTGACAGATGGGCTTCCTTCTCTCTGCCTGGTATCTGTTTCTTGAAGGTTGCCCTGTCCCAAGCACTGTGGGGAAAGCCTGGCCCTCAGCATCACAGGTCCCAGTGACTGTTCTGTAATGAATAGCAGCCCTGTTGCAGGTGGGGAGACTGAGGCAAGGCCCATGGAGTAAGTCTCTTGCCCAGCCAGTCATCCAGCTCCTGGCCCTAGGCTTTTCCTTCCACGCCTCTCAGATAAATTCCTCCAGCCCTGGCCTTGCTATAGCAGGTTCTGTAAACTGGGTGAGCTGGTGTTCTCCTGCCCCATGTACTGAGACGTGAGACATAAATTGAGGAATAATTTGCACTTAGTACACAAGTCCTAAGTGTCCAGGGTGACAAATCTACATGTGCACCATCAGCCAGGTGAAGGTGTAGGCACTTCCAGCTCCCGGAAGGCCCCTATGCCTAGTTGTTACCTCATAGGTGACAGCAGTTCCCACCCCTGTCAGCATGGATTTGTTGGCCCGTTCTTGAACCTATTGTGAATGGAGTCACGCAGTTGGTACCCTTTATGGGGAGGAGGGCAGCACTCTCTGCCTCCCCAGCAGAGCCTCACTGGAGGGCACTTCCTATCCTTGCTTCTGTTCCCCATGTCTTAGGGTGAACTCCACAAGTACTGCGCTGCTTGGGATGAGACCGAAGTCAGATTCCACAGCCAGAGCCACAAAGCTGGGTACGTTTCCCCCGGCCAGCTGCCAGACAACGAGACTGACTGTGGCTGGGCTCCATTTGGTGAGTTTGACAAAGGCCGTCAGTGCGCGGCCACCCTTTCGGTGTTCTTCCAGCCTTGCTAAGTCTAGCAGCCATTCCGCTGGCCGCAAATGTACCTGCATTTCCATGACAGGGCTCTCCTGTCAGGCAATGACCATGCCTGTTTGCAGGGCTGGTGTCACCTGAACTAGATTCTCTTATGAGGGAATCTGTAGAAGATGATTCGCATTCTGTATTTCAGATTTGGAAGTTGGGTGGGAAGAAGAGAGCTTGCAGGGGCTGTGTGCGGGGCTGGCCAGTCAGACACGCTGCAACGAAGCCAGTGTACACGTAAAACAAGTTGATCAACACACACCCACCCCCCTGAACAAGGGACCTCATCTAATCAGAACGATGTGCATATTTAGTGATTATTTGAAAATACGATGACTTTGTTGTCCTCCGTGAGAAGCTGAACAGAAGATGTGCTGCCTGTGTTGTGTTCCCAGCCACCTCTTTTAAGCTTCCTGAGTGCACCCAAGTTTAGAGAAGAGATGTTTTCAGCTCTCAGCCCTGCTGCAGAGACAAGCTCAACAATACTGAACTTTGTCTGTTGATTTTCCACTCCCTGTAGATAAGAGCAACTACCAACAGCTGCTTGGCGCCCTGGATTACTCCTTCCTGTGTGCGTATGCCATTGGCATGTACCTGAGGTAGGTCTGCTGGAGTTTCCAGATCCTTCCTGGTCCTAAGTCCATTCAGTGCCCAGCAAACAGGAATGCAAGATGAGGGCCTGCTTGCAGGCTGCTTGCTTCTGGGGCTCTTCGCATGCTGCTCTGTGTCCACACATAGGACTGGAAGCAGAGGAGGTAGACGCCCCGGGTATTCTGGGCTGGTCACAGGCTGGCCACAGCACCCCTGGACCTGGGGTCCTAGGACATGATCATTTAGGAATAGGGGACGAGAGGCTGTACATGGAGGTCAGAGCCCGCTCTGTCCACAGTTGCAACAGCCCCCATCTATTTACACGTCCCGGTAACTAGCTGGTAGTCAGAACAGTTGAAACAGTATGTGCTGGACTTTGCTACCTGACACCCACCTTGGCCCCAGCAGAGCTGAGAGCAGCAGCCCGGCACTAAGTGGCAGGAGGGGCATGAACTCCAGGCACAGGCTGCTTGGATTTGAGTCTCTGACCTACCACCTGCTGGAGTCTGGCCTTGGACAAGCTACTGTACCTCTTTGGGCCTCAGTGTCCCCTTTCCAAGATGGGAGAAATCATAGTTCCCCTGACTTAGGATTGTGGTGAGGATTAACTGAGTCCATGCATGTAGAGGCTCAGAACTGCCTGGCACGTGGTGCACACCCAGCCACTCTTGACCTCACTCTTGAATTGAAGTAGGTAGGTACCAAATGTTACATGGGTGATAGAACTTGGGTTAGTGAATTAAAAATGGTGTCATGTCATTCCAGCGGTGATTTTTTGTAAAGAGCATCATAGAGATTTCTCAGTTATTTTCTATTACTATAACGGAATACCTTGAGATTGGATAATTTATAAAGAAAAAAGGTTTATCTGGCTCAAGACCAAGATCAGGTGGTTACATCTGGCAGGGGCCTCATGCTGTGTTGTAACGTGGCAGAGGGCTTCATGTGGCAGGACTGTGTGCACGGGGGCACGCAGAAGAGATAGAAGATAGGGTGACTTGGCTTCGTAACGACCCCCGCTCACAGTGACTAATCAGTCTGGAGAGAATGAGCACAGTCCCATGAGGCAGCCCCTACACAGCTCTAGAAGGCAAGACTCCAAAGAGGTTAGATCACATTGCAGTCCCAACGGATCCGAGGGACTCCACCCAGTACTTCAGGCCTTCTCTTAAAAAACGAAGCTTCCAGTTTTAAAACCAAACCAGGGAAAGTAATTGTGGCAGGAGGTGGTGGCTGGCAGAGGCTTGTTGTCCTTTCCCCAGGTGTTGCCATCTAGCTGGGCATTTTAACACAGATGACTTTGTCATAGCACATGGTGTGTGTGTGTGTGTGTGTGTGAGTGAACTGCCCAAGCTTATAAAGTGATCCCTTTTGTAAGTGATTGCCCAAGCTTGTAAGACACCCCTCTGTAGTCTGTCAGTTGAAATGTGAATACTACATACATTTACATTAAAGCAGGATTAACTAGCAGGACAAGTTCTTGTTTTCTTTAATTGGCAACTGTCACATGTAATTCAGTGTTTGACTTTTTAAATCTTGTTTCTAGTGACTTTTACTAGAAATAAAAAGTCTTATAAGATGTTACCAATTGCTGGTTTCTGTGAGTAAACACTCTGCAGGGAAATAGCAGTGTCGAACCTTCCTGGAAATTATCAGACCTTAGAGTTCTGAAAGCTCAGAGAACAGCGTGAAAACATCTGGAAAGACATGCCATTTTGGTTCTGGGGGTTTGCTCACCCACACTGTCCTTCTTGTCCCCACCACAGTGGCATCATAGGGGAGCGCCTGCCCATTCGGTACTACCTCACGTTCGGCATGCTCGCCAGCGGAGCCTTCACTGCCCTGTTCGGGGTAGGATATTTCTATGACATCCACAGTTTGGGATTCTACGTGGTGACTCAGGTAAGGGTTTGGATCCATGGCTCACTGTGGTAGGGGTTTTGTGGTAGGCAGGATGGGGTGTTTATGATGAGGAACCCGCCTCTGCCAAGGTGGTGGTGGGGGCAAGACTGTGTCATGTCTGAGGTCAGGGGCAGCTGATGTGTGAAGTCCTTCCTTTTTTGTTCTGCTCTAGAGGGTTCTGCCAGGCAGTTTCTCTCTGTTTCGGGAGCTACCTGTTGAAGAGTCACATTTGTCAGTGCCCAGGTGAAGCACGAGGCTCTCACTCTGACTTTATGTGGATGAGTTGGAGAAACTGTCTTGTGACAGATCTGACCCCTCAGGAGTTGGGAGCTGTCGTCCCCAAGCTGGAGTTAGTTGCCCCCAAAGCTGTGGCAGCTGTGGTTCCCACCAGAGAGTGCCCCAAACTGTCCTGAGATGGGGCTGGTTGGGATTCCAAAGAAAGAAGCACTAATTATGAGGGGAGCTCCCAGACAGAGGCGCTGACAGGAAGCAGGGCAGGGAGGGTCTGACAGGGCTGTCTGCTGTGAGGCTGGGTGTACAGGAAGGCCCAGGACCCTGTCAGTATTCTGGGCAACAACGTAAACACCCTTACTGGTGCCTGGGAATGTGCAAGGGTAGCTTGGGTTCAAGACTACAGGGAAAGCATACAGTTGGCTGGATCTCAGAGCGGTCAGGACAGAGAGAAATATGGGCGTCCTGGGGGACCCTGCAGGGGGATGTGGGTGTGGCAAGGGTGCAGGGAAGCTGTTTTGGAGTCCTTGGCAGTCACTGGGGAGGAATGGAGAGAAGTCGAAGGTGCTGGAAGGCAGGAAGGCTTGAGAGAGCCCTGCTTTGCCCTTCAAGCTGGGCCCAGGCCTTCGGCATCCCTCAGCTTTTGCCCTTCCTGTGGACAAATACTGACGGCCACAGAAAGTGCCACAGAAGTGACGATGCTCAGCTCCAGTCTGTGCAGCTTCTGGGGCCCTCCAGATAGCCTGGGCTGGGAGATACAAAATCATCAGAGCAAATTGTACTCAGTTTTGCATTTTAAGATTTTCCCATATCACTTGAAACAGTTAACTGATTTAACTATAGCAGTAACATAGAAAATGAGAAGGAAGACAGAAATAGTTTCCCAGAGTTCTGGAGTATTCCCAAAGTGAAGGGCAAGTGTGGTCCGCCCAGAGGCAGCAGCCAGTGACTGCCCCGTTCAGTGAGAGCAACACAAGTCCTGAGCTGGCCCTTGTTTCATGCATCTCATAGGAGTTGTCCCCGACTCTCAGGACACTAAAGCAAACTCAGTCACCTGTGTGCCCTCTAAGTCCCTCTTGAAACTTAAGACATTCTTAAAAAGTACAGAAACACTCTGCCCAGGGCTAGGTCAAGGTCGTAGTCATTTCAGATGATGATTACCAACTGTGCCTTCTCCGTGCCACTGTGGGAGAGAACTGCCATTCACAGGTCAGTTCTATAAACAAGTCCGTGAAAGGAGATTTTCTCTCTGTGAAGTTTTCAGACTCAAAAGAGACTGGAAAGGCCAGTGCCTATCCGCTGCCAGGCACCGTTCCCCAGGGTGGGCTGCCTGGGCTCTTTTCTTGGCCTTCTCTACTTATTCTGAAATTTCCAGGACAGGCATGTGTTAATTTTATTTTGAAAGAATATATGCACCTGTATACACAGTTGGAAACTATAAGTATAGTTCAAATTATGCATAAAAGTGCAATTTGGATCCCATCTTAGGCAGCTGAGGCTCACCTGAGCAGAGAGAGCTGTGCCCCTTCTGAGAGAGTCCCAGCCCTGCTCCCAAGTGGAGATGACAGAGAACCGCCCTGCGGGCCTGGCAGTAACGTGCGCTCTGGGGTATGTTTTCCACTCCTGGTGAATTTCTTTCCGGCCTCTCTTCTAGGTTATCAATGGACTGGTACAGACCACAGGCTGGCCCAGTGTTGTCACCTGCCTCGGCAACTGGTTTGGGAAAGGAAGGTGAGAGAGGGTCCCTGCCTCCAACAGCATTTGTTTTCTAAAAACATTCTGATGAAAACGAGACCACTTTACTTTTAGTTTTTCTTCAGACTCATTATAGCAAAAATACTTCAACTAGTCTCCTCTTTAAATTAAGGTGATGGAAACTCCTAGGGCTTAAACTCGTGACATTTGACTGTCCTGTGTCCTGTGAGGCAGCATTCCCAGCCATTTATGTTGTGGGCAGAGTTGGGTCTGTGTGGCTCAGCTGTACCCATGACAGCTGCACCCGTCTCTCCTGACCTCCAGGCACCACTGTGCCCTGAGCTAACCCACTCGGGGAAGCTTCTCAGCACCACTTTGCTGTATGTTTTGTTGTGTTGCAGACGAGGTTTGATTATGGGGGTCTGGAATTCCCATACCTCTGTGGGCAACATTTTGGGGTCGTTGATTGCTGGCTACTGGGTGTCCACGTGCTGGGGCCTGTCCTTCGTCGTGCCTGGGGCCATTGTGGCAGCGATGGGGATCGTGTGCTTTCTCTTCCTCATTGAACGTAAGTACATGAGGCCTCGGAGATGACCCCCTGGGGGAGCCTTGGTTGCTGGGGAGAGCTGTGGGCAAAAGTTTGAGAGCAGGGGAGGAGGGCTGCTTGGTGCCCTGTGAGGAGGAGCTGCTCTTGTCCCTGGACCTGCGCCCCTAGGCAGCTTGCTCTTTCCTGGTCTTACCAGATTTTCAGTTCTTTCCTGGTTCCTGGACCTGCGCCCCTAGGCAGCTTGCTCTTTCCTGGTCTTACCAGATTTTCAGTTCTTTCCTGGTTCCTGGACCTGCGCCCCTAGGCAGCTTGCTCTTTCCTGGTCTTACCAGATTTTCAGTTCTTTCCTGATTTCTGGCGTCCCAATTCCTTCTCTCCCGTTGTCCTCCCCACCCTTACCCAAAGCATCAGGCATTCTGTTGGGGAGTCTCATTCTGTGTGCTCTTTGGGGCACACACCCGGGACGCAGGCCCAGCCTGTGGCTGCACCTGCTGGCTTATTTGCTTCCTGCAAAGATCTATCTTGAACAATGTCATAAAACCATGGCATGACTTAAGACTTGATTAACATCTAATTAGGTAAAGAATGTCTACCAGAAAAGCATTTCAGATTCAATACCAAACCTTTGATTTAATAGAATTTGACATTCACGTGTAAACTTGAGGTGTTCTGAGCTGTTACATGATGGCAGAGCAGCCAGTGCTGCCTGGACGTTCTGTGCCAGAGTGCTGACCCACAAGCTGTTCTGGAAATGGTGTTCCAGGAAGACTGGGCTGGCAGCAAAATACAGTGGTGTCAGGTAACTCCCTGCCTGTGGCTCCCAGAAAGGAGCACTCAGTAATCAGCCCTCCCTCCGTACCAGGCGGTCAGGAGACTCAGCTCCGTGTTCAGAGCTGCAGCCTCATTGTCCAGGAGGGGAGGGAGTGCTTGTTCTATTTAATTCCTCACCTTTTCCTTCTTGCTAAAGCTAACCTTTTAATTTTAAAAAGAACTGCATCTAGCCAGCTGTGAGGTCTGAGGCTGTCAGACCAGTCTTCTGTGTTGGCATAAACAGAAATAAACATTCAGGTGAGGAATTCACAGGCACTCACTGGTGCTCAGCTCCCTGTCGCTGTGTTCTCC